ACACGCACACGCACACAGAGAGATGACAGCAGTCCTCCAGACAACGGACTAACCTGAGTCAAATTTGAAGAGAAGGGTCACATTGCGCGTGTTGCAGGGCACATTAATGAAGGTAGAGGGGGGCAGACCGGAGCGACAGAACCAGCCCACGATAGGGATCGGCGTGGAGGGACCGTCAGAATCCGCATTCTGGTCATAGTTGGGTCGAAGGACGCTGGAAATATTGCCCAGGAAGAAGGACTTGTCCATGAGGACACCCAGACCATTCCGGAGGTAGGAACGTGACTGATCCGAGGCGGTGGACCCGGTTGCTCCGTAGATGTCGGGCAAGTTGCTGGCGAAGGCGTTGGAGGAGAAGACGCCGTCGTAGACGGAGTCGTTCAGGACGGCAGAACGGTTTCCGTTGGCGGCATGGTAGGCATCACCCTCGGGAATTTCGTACTGCAGCACGTGATCTGAGGAGTCCGGAAAAAAGTGTTATGCAGAAGTGAATAACCCGTTTTCACATTAGCTGACATCCAATGGGGCGCTAAGTAAACTTTTCGACTACCTGGATAACTTGCGTTAGAGTATGTGGTGAGCGCTTAGGAATACAGGGTGTTATAACCAAAATGCCCACAAGAGGGAAGGACAAATTTCGTTTCTAATCAGGAGCCCGACAAACTTCAGTCAAAAGCGACAGTAGCTGTTGAAATGAAGGTAATGTAAGACGGAAGAGAACAAGGGTCCGAGCGTGCATCCTAAGGGCGAGGCAAAGGAATGTCCTGTCCCAGCGATCGCGTCTACCTCTTCTTAATTACTTCCTGAGACTCGCATTTTCGTTTTAATCAGCAGTTGGTAATATTCGCCGTCAATGAGGTTCACGTGTGGCCTTCGCGTATTCTCAATCTTTGAATAGCCTGCACCTACTACACGGAGCACAACGGTCGAATTTTTCAGCGGAAGGCAGGCCCTGTCTGTCAGGCACTGTCCTGAAGCTGACTGGTTGTGGATGCTTAACTGCTCTCCTGACATATTTACTGTGCTAATTAGAGGGTAACATATGCTAACAGACAGCACTTTAATGCTTACTTCATTCTATTCTGAGGACTGTCTGGAGCGATTTCTGTCAATGCCCCTGTCAAACTTGGACGTTTGGAGGACTCATAACCTCAGTCCCGGGCTGGCTGTTGACATGGCAAGGGACCGTGGTAAAAAAACGAAAAGCTTTCTCGTCACGGTAGCAGCTGTACACATTTTTGTAGAATTTTCTGTTACCAGGTTGGCTTTTGACTGACAGGTTTCGAGCGACCTGCGCCAATTGTTCCCTGGAAAAAGTACCAGTAATGCAGGATGCATTTTCCATTGGCAATATATGCTCCCCTCTTATTTTGTAAGGACACAATAAAAAATTCATCCTAATACGTAGGAAATTATGTTTACTAAATACTGATATCAGAAGGAAGGAAGTATTTTGGAGTTTTGCGTTATTAACTTTACTCTTATGACGTTATCTGCCCGGCTCTATGAAAGTGGACCCTGTCTGTCGCCGTATCGTTTATGTACTAGGAGGTTTTCTTCAAGGAGCATATACGACCACGTGAATTCTATTCTGTGGAAAGGCAGACGCAAGTGCTGATAAACTCTCCGGAAACTGAAATACGCTTCCCCATCGCGTGTAAGAAATGAAAGTGTAAATGACTATAAAATGCCCATACTATACGGGTTTTTGCGTATCCTGTATAAACAAAAACATTCAAATTACACAGGTAGGGTAAATCGATAAACAAATGCGGGCTACTCGAGTCTGCCTTTTTCCCGAGCGTAAGTGTAGATACGCCTAGTCAAAACCGGTATGTTGCCCTGTATAACTTGATTTGCCCTCGGCTAGTCGACTTTGTAAATCCATTTAAGTAATATTTTCCACTTTAAAAAGTTTGCACCTCTCCAAAGTCTAATGAGTGTCAGTCAATGTACACTAGGAGTAGCGTCAAAACACCACTTAGACTGTTAAGCCTGTTCCCACCCACCCTCACGGCGGCCAGGGTCTGCTAT